TTTGTTCTTAATACACTTTGAAAAAAAAAAAATTAAAAATATATTTATTAATGGGAAATTGATATTAAAATAAAAATTATGAATAAATTAAATTTTAATTTTTTGTTATTAAAACACTTTAGAAAAAAATAATAAATAAATTTATTATTGGAAAATTGATTTTAAAATTAAATTTGTTTCGGTTTTTATATTTTAATTTTTTTGTTCTTAATACACTTTGGAAAAAATTATAAATATATTTATTATTGGAAAAATATATTAAAATTAAAATTATGAATAAATTTATATTTTTTTTGTTATTAAAACACTTTAGAAAAAAATATTTAATAAATTTATTATTGGAAAATTGATTTTAAAATTAATTTTTTTTCGGTTTTAATATTTTTGTTTCTTTGTTATTAACACACTGAGAAAAAAAATTATAAATAAATTTAGTATTGGAAAAATATATTAAAATTAAAATTATAAATAAATTAAATTATTTTTTTTGTTATTAATTTAGAAAAAATTATAAAAAAATTTATTATTGGAAAATTGATATTAAAATTAATTTTTTTTTTCGATTTTTGTTTTTTTATTATTAATACACTTTGGAAAAAATTATAAATATAATTATTATTAGAAAATTGATATTAAAATTATAATTATGAAAAAATTTAATATTTTTTGCTTATAAAACACTTTGGCAAAAAATAATAAACAGATTTATTATTGGAAAATTTATATTAAAATTAAATTTCTTTCGGCTTTTTCTTGGCATATAACGGTTTTTGTTATATTTTCTAGACGTGCTCAAGCGTAAGCAGAAGCCGAGTCGTGCTAAAATAATTTACGTAATTTTTTTAATTAATAATCATCCAAAATTATATACATACTTAAATACATAACAACTTTTAAGCAGGCAATTGCGCCGAAAATAGTTGTAAATTAGACATGAATGTATATATGTACATACATATAGATGTGCATTTATTCAAGATTTCATTTTTTAATTGTGGTACAAAGGAAAAAGTGCTTCCAGTCATGTACACACAATTCTATCTATATAATTTTAATTTAGTAAATACATATGTATGTATGTATGTATCAAATAATAAATAATTGGCTACAAATCAAATAAGCAGTGGTAGTATTTAGTATTTAAGAAACAACAAACATAATAAAAACACTGAAGAAATATTTTTATGTATGTATGTATGTATGTGTATGTATATACATACATATGTATACATGCATAAACGAAACATTCTAACAACTAAATATGTTGCTGTATTTTAACGGTTTATTGACATTGTTGTTTTATTTGCCGGTATGTTTATATGTATGTATTTACAAGTATGTGTGCAAATATATAAGTTTGTAGGTGTGTATGCATAAATATTTTTCCATTGTGCTGATTCTTTTCTTTTATATAATTTCTTTTTATATGCCTTTAATCTTAGGTCATAAATATACGAACATACATGCATATGTATGTAGATATGTGTTTACATGTATTTATATAGAAATATGTATATATGTTGTTGTAGATGTCAACTCTTTTTCTGTGCATGTATTGAAAGTGCAAATGTTTTCTTTTGAATTTATAATCTGATTAATATTTTTTTTCTTATGTCACTTTTTTGCCTAATATGTGTATATGTATATGTGTGCATATTTTTTCATACAAGCATACATACATGCATATATTTGTTTTCATACTTATATGTATGTATATTTATCGAGTCGTGCATGCCTCTCCGTCTATTGCAGCATATTTCAGTGCCTAGATATATACATATGTTGATAAACATATGTACATATATGTATGAACTTGCAAATGTATAAAAATACATAATATGTGTGTACATTTGTATGCGTTTGACCCAGTTTTCTGTATAAATGAAATTCGTCTTCTCTTCTGCATTATGTATGTGTTTGTTGTGTATATTTTTTGACTTTTGAATTTTTTTATTCATACAAACATACATACATATCTGTATACATATATATTATACACCTACATACATCACACAAGCGGCTTATCATTTCGTTGAGACTTCGAAACCATTTGATAATTTGAGGTTTTCATTACATTTAGATATATGTATATATAAACATATATGTATGTATGCACATCCATTCAGCGCATATTTATAACTTTAATTTATATGCTGATTAAGAGATGAACATGGAACATTGAAAAGAAAATTAATTCAAAAAAAAAAAATTTTCAATTATGTTCACGGAAAAAGAGAAAATCAAAGGCTCTTCTTCTTCTGAGCTCGAAAACTGACAGCTAGAGCCATGTGTCGGTGGTCATATCTATATCATGGGGCGTCTCTTTAAGCGGCTTTCCACCGCTTTGTAGGTGTGTCCTGAACCTACTTTACTCTGCGTAGCCAATAAATATCCCCTTTGGAGTATTATTCCGAGAGCTCGAACTAGACTTGACTGTTCCACTTCATTGTAGAACCTTAAAATACGTCCAATTGCTTCGTTATCACCACATTGAAAGGTTCGCAGAAATGAGCTCAGTATTTTAGATAGGCGGATCTTCCGAGGAGGTGACCGCTGTCAAACAAAAGTATATAGGCGAGATTGGAAACATCGCTGAAGCCATATTCGGTCGAGAACCTTCTCCAATTTGTAGAGAGGTCTACGGTTTATACTACGCCGCCTACAAGGAGCTTTTATTTCAAGTCAGATCTGCACTTCGAGAGGCTAAGATTGGGAGCATCGCTGAGAAGTTGTTTGGATTTTTCTATCCCACGCCTTCGAAAGTCTGATCGATAATTATGAGGAGATTTCATTTTTAATCGGAATTGGTCCAACCGCCATTAGGAAGTCATATTTTTTTAAACAGTTCAGGTAATAAACAGACAGCAGCTTCGCTGGCTAGACCATGTTGTGCACATGGATGAAAACATTCTAGCCCGGAAGGTATTGAAAGCTGGAAGAATCATGTGGCAAGTAAACTGACGAAAACAGCGTCGAAAACGAACTATTGTCGATTCGGCTACAATCGTGTAGGCGGTGTTTATGTCAATGAAGAAGAGGAGAGTAGTGTGGACCCCTGTGGGTTAAGGGCTCATAAGAGACGACTAAAATACAAAAGTTCCCGCTACAGTTTGGTCTTTTTACAGGAAATATTCGGTTTACTTATGCGGCCAAAGACTATCACTACCGCAAAATTTCTTGAAAACCAATTCGGGAAATATTTTTAGAGTCACTACAACAACACAATAAGGCTAAAACTCGACAGTCAACTAACGGTAAACGAACTATCGACTCACACATTTTTGTTTTTAGTACGGTATTTTTGGTGGAACTTCTTTTTCGATTTAGGGCATGTGTTAGCCTGAGCGAGATTGATATTCCTTGGCAAGAGGGGATCTTCGTGCGATGAACTTGTTAGGCAAGGTACGATCAAAGAGATTCTTTTCTATAAAGAATGCATTGGTAATGCCTACTGCTTCTCAAGGAATTTACATACAATTACAAGTCGCATCGAGGTGGAATCATACTATGTCCTGCCGCAAATCCAGACACAACCGGCCGAAAATGAATAAAAAGAGAACACGAAAGGTGTACTCCTTAAAAAGAGGAGACATGTCCAAAGTAGTTCTGACATGCCACTGTCTGATAGGACGACATGCGAAAAGACTAGGAGCTCCCTATAAAAGTTGTTGCAGAAGCTGTTAGGGTGATGAGGAGGAGGAATCGATCACTCATCTCTTAGGCGACTGTCCAGTGCGAGTTTTCGGAATTTTATATGGTCTATCGAAGGTAGCTGACGTCAAAGTCTTGCATCTAGTAAAGTTCGTTAAGAGTATCAAAATGTATTTGGCCTCACAATGGGGCTTAATCAGGCCTAAGTGAATCCACAACCTACCCTAAGCTACATTCTTATGTATTTTAATGTATATACATATGTATATTTCCAACTCTACCCGGTTGCTTTTCCAAAGAGCAAACAATAATTTACAAGTTTTCTTTTGCATTTTCTTCATCTTCTGCTCCCCTTTTAGACTGCCTTAAGCCAACTGAGAAATTTGCTCTTTACTCAAGTGTAAACTGAAGACTTGAAGACAAGACCGAGGCAAACATTTATTTTAAATATTTTTTTTCTTTAATCTGAAATCGGTTAAAAGTACACAAAAAAACAGATTCATACATACGCATGTATGTACATGTATTTACATATATGTACATATACATATACATATAATCAAATAATGAATTCCGATCTCTTCGCGAACTTCTTTATTCGCCTTAATTCGTAAATTTGTTGTAATTTTTTTTTGCTAAAATATTTTACTACTTACTTACATAAAAATATACTACATACATACGTACATATATGTACATAACGATATTCATACTGCCAATTATATATATACATATGTATGTATATACAGTGAAGCCACTGATCTTCCAGTTCTCCACACGTGCACAAGAATACAAAGCCTATTTGCTGCTATGCATGTTTGTATGTGTGGAACTACATATGTATGTACACGTATGTGCTTTTAAAGATCACTATTCAAGGCATATCGCCAGTTCTTCATTTGTATTCCAACCAAATTGGAGTTGGTTCTGTTGTTGTTCTTAAATACTTAAATGTAGATTTACATATGTATGTACATATACACACATTTGGATCGCTTTGTTTTCATATTTAACAATTTAGCCTTTACACTCCTCTTCGCCCCAAAAGCGTCTCGCCGGTCTGTAATCAATAACATGCCATTGCTCACTATGCTTTCAGCTCCAACATATAATATATATATACACATATAAATATATATATATATATATATACATATATATATACACATGTATGTATGTTTTTTTATTTGTATTTACTAGCAAACGCCATACCCAACATACATACACATCTGTCACTACTTTCTGCTGCCTTCACTGCTTGCTGCTTGCTGCTGGCTGCCGCTGACAGCGTCAACAGTTCAACGTCGACTGCGTCTTGTAGCAGCGTGGCAGGGCTTTATTCGTGCGTGTCGCACACGAGTTTCGTTTAAATTGTATTCGAACGCTGTAGCGAACGGTTGTACTATTTCCAAAACCTGCGAGAGTTTCAAAACTCAAACAACTAAAAAAAAAAAACCAAGCAAATTGAAAAAAAACTATCAAAAGAAAGTTGAACTGAAAGTTTTCAAACGAATTCGAATGAAAAAAGTATTTCAATTTTTAGTGAAAAAATAACAAAAAAAAGGCAAAATAAACAGTGCTAAAAACTGCTGAAAATAAACCTTGCGTCCATTTAAAAAAATCATATTATCACAAAAAAAAAAAAAATAAATAAATACAAAAGAATATCTAAAAAAGTGCGCATAAAAAACTATACAACTGCAAATTTTACAAACATTTTCTTTCGAAAAAATATAGGGAATAATTTTCACAAATTTCGTATCGAAAAAAAAAATATTTTAAATGATCACGCACTTACTATCCTGATAGTGTCCGCAGTGCTCCTTTGTGTGTCTCTCAAATCTACTACCTGCCTTGTTTGTCATTTGTCTGCTGCATCTTGCTTGCAAGTACTTTGCAATAAGTTGGCTTCATTTTTGGTGTTTTGTAAACAAAAATTTACCATTTCAAAATGGCTTTTGCGATTATGAGCCGCGGTTTTTTGCGCACATCCAGAGAAATACTGGAACGCAGCAGGGCTGTGGGTGGTGTTGCGAGTGCCCATTGCTTTATGGATGTTGATGTTCATGTAAGTTTGTTTCAATAATTTACGGTTTCATAATAATTGTTTCACAAAATTGATTTAAAAAAAAAAAATAAATAAATAAATAAATCTGACATTTTTGCTAAATTTAAGAAACCTATTATTATTATTATTTAATTTATTAAAATTTTATTTCATATTTTTGATTAATTGAATTTATTATTTTTTAATTTCTATATTTTTGAATCAATTTTGCGTAAATTTCCTTTATTTCAATATTATTTTAGTAAATTTAATTACTTGATGTTTTGCTTTTATTAATTTAATTTATTTCATTTCACTTAATTGTATTGCCTTTATCTTATTTTATTTTTTTATTTTATTTTATTTTATTTTATTTTATTTTATTTTATTTTATTTTATTTTAGTTTATTTTATCTTATCTTTATTTTATTTTATTTTAAATTTTATTTCATTTTATTTCTTTTATTTTATTTTAATTCACCTTATTGAGTATAATTTCTTTTCTCATTTTATTTTATTTCTTTTATGTTAATTAAATTGATTGAATATAATTTCAATTAAATTATATTTTATTTTTTATTACTCTTTTATATTTTTTTTTATTAAGTTTTTTGTATTCTTTTATATTTTCTTTTTTTGATTATTTTTGATTTAATTGATTTTAATTAAATTTTCTTCTAATTTATCGCGCTTTACTTTATTTCACTTTCTTTTATTTTAATTTCATTTTTTAATTTTTGTTTTATTTTTATTTATAGTATTTGTTTGTTTTTCAATTATTTATTGTATTTTGTTGAATTTTATTGTATTTGATTAATTTTTATTATTTACCTTTATTCACTTATGTTGCTGTTTATTTTATTTTCTTTTACTCGATTTAATATTCATTGTTTTTTTCGCTAATATATTTTACTTGTTTTATTTTTATTTATTATCTGAGTTTGTTTTATTTAATTAAATAAAATTTTTTTTATATTATATTTTGATTTCAATTGAACTAAATTATATTCAATGATTTTTCAATTTGAACCAATTTTGCTTTATATTTTTCCATTTTATTCTATTTTAATTTTTATTTTATTCATTTATTTTATTTTTTTTTCTTTTCATTTATTTATTTTATTAACTGATTTAACTTATTTTTAATTTTGTTTAGCTTAATTTAATTTTATTTTTAATTAATATTATTTAATAGTTTTTTTTTTAATTTTGTTGAATTTTCTTATAAATAATTTTTTTATTATAATTTATTTCTTATTAATTTTGCTGCTTTGATTTGAATTTATTTGATTTTTTACAATATTAATTTCAATTTTATTCAATGCAAATCATTAAATTATCAGTTTTTTTTAATTAAATTCTATTTATTTTTTGTTATTTGATTTTATTTTGTTTTATTTTACTTCATTTTGTTTTACTTTAATTTATTTTATTTCTAATTTTCTAATTTTATTTGTTTAGTTTATTTTCTTCTTAATTTTAGTTGCATTTTATTTTAAATTATTTTTTCAATATATTTTAATTATATTTTATTTTATCTCGACTCTTTTGATTTTAGTTTCTTTTATTTTTAAATATCTTTTTTTTATTTATTTTTTTGTTGATTTTTTGAATTTTTTTTTTCATATTATTATATATTTTATTTTCATTTTATTTTTATTTTATTTTAATTTTTTGTTTTTATTTTTTGGTTTTTTTCTAAAATATTTTTTTAAACAAAAATTGTCAGTTTTTTCTGCACGATTCTGCATGCATTATCAGCAGTACAGTTAATGTTTATTTTTATCTTTCTTTCTTTATTAAAATTCATCTAGAAATTTCATTATAAAAGTGTGTTCTCGATTGTTCAGGAAGTTTCAAAACTAATCTACATACACATCTGCAGATACAAGAAAACATGTACATACATAAATTAAAAATGTAGTTTGCCACACACATACTAACATATATGTAGATACATAGGGAAAATTTTTCCAAATATTTGTATTTGTTTTGAGATTAAAAACATATGCGTCGTTTCAGCTACAAATTTCGTTTTGTACATATGTACATATGTAGTGTATAAACTCCTATTTACATATATGAATACCTATGTTTTTATGTGTGTACAAATGCTACTAAACGAGTACCTTTTCTTATATTCATTTTTCTATTCGTTTTGTCTGGCTTCTTATATTGGATTTTTCGAAACACAAAACCAGACTTAACAAATAATGGGGTGGATTTCATGCATACATATAAAAGTTGTAGTTTATGTATGTGTATGTATATGCGCTCATTATATTTTTTCGTTTTCTTTTCGTACACGTGTTCGCATTACGATTGCACGAAGTTTGTCGTCCGAGTTGTGCCACAGTATTGGAAAGAATATTTTAGAGTAAAATGAGAAAGTTGTTTTTTTCTTCTAAAAATTCCTTAATCCTATGTAGATTGGAATGTAAATTGTTTCAAAAATTAATAAGTTTTTCTTTTTTTAATTTTTAAACTTAAAATACGTCAATCAAGTGTCTAAATTTAGTTAATCAAAAAATAAATATAAAAAAATAAAAATACTTCAGAGTTGTATTCTAAAAGCATAAGCACGATTCATTTTAATACAACAATAAAATCAACCAACGAGCAACAGGTCAATGTTGTATGCAAAACGAGCATTTAACAGTAATGAATGGCACACTCGGAAATTTTAGTATAAAGTTTCACGGTAAATTAATCAAAATCTCATTTTTCTAAATAAAAAAAAAATGTAAAGAAAAACTAAATTTAAAATATATCGAAAATTAAAAATATTGATAAATAATTACAAATATTTTAAGCTAAATTTTTATATACCAAAGCAGCGCATCATTTTCTAAAACCTTAAAGAGATGCAGGTTTCACATTTCCTATTTTTTCTCTCAATTTCCTAATAAGTCAATTCTTAATTTTTTTCTTAATTAAATTACTTTAGAAACATCTAAGGGTCATGTTTCCCCTTGAAAATGTTCATACAATTTCCTGCGAGGCACATTGCATTTCTACATCCTCCTTTTGCAGAAACTTCACAGTTTAAGGTACAAAATCTGTGTCTTGCTTTTGTTGTTTAATTATAAAATGCTTTTGTTGTCTACAACAAGCTTCAGCTGTATTTGCATGTGGCTTTTGACAGACATGCGGAATTTAAAAAACAAAACTCGAGGTCTTTTGCATAATTTGTCAAATTATTATGTATGATTTTTTCCGTCCTTTTGAGCGTACGAACAAGAGCGTTAATTTCAAAAGTAAAAAATAAAATGAAAAGAGAAAAAATTTGATAATAAATACAAAAAAAAAATAAAATAAAAACTAACTAACTAACTAATAAACTAAAATTGAAATAAAATAAGAAAAAATAAAATAAAATAATAAAAAACCAAATAAAGCAAAATAAGAAAATAAACAAGATAAAATAAAGCAAAAAAATTAAAAAAAAACTAAAAATAATAAAAAAATAAATCAACTAAAAAGAAAATAATTATAATAAAATAATTTATTACTAAAATAAAATTAAATTAAATGAAATAAAATAAGATAAATAAATAAATTAAAACAAAATAAAATCAAATTAAATGAAATAAAATAAAATAAATTAAAAAAAAAATAATATATAAAAAAATGTCATAAAATAAAATAAAATGAAGTTAAATAAGAATAAATAGAAATAAATAAAAAAAAATCAAATGAAGGAAAATAAGAAAATAAATAAAATAAAAGAAAAAATTAAAAGGAAATTCAAAAAAATAACAAAAAAAAATTAATCAACTGAAAAAAAATTATTATAATAAAATAATTTATTACTAAAATAAAATTAAATAAAATAAAATAAAATAAGATAAAATAAAACAAAATAAAATTAAAAATAAATAAAATAAAATAAGATAAATAAATAAATTTAAGCAAAATAAAATAAAATAGAACAAAGGAAATGTCTTAAAATAAAATAAAAAAACAAATGAAATAAAATGAAATATATTAAATAAACATAAAATAAAAATAAATGGCATAAAATAAAATAAAATGAAGTAAAATAAGAAAAAAATAAAATAAAATAAAAAAATCTAATAAAGTAAAATAAGAAAATAAATAAAATAAAATAAATAAAAGAAAAAAGTTTAAAAAAAAATTTCAAATAAAATAATAAATCAATTGAAAAAAATAATTATAATAAAATAATTTATTACTAAAATAAAATAAAATAAGATAAACAAATAAATTTAAACAAAATAAAATAAAATGAAATATAATAAAATAGAACAAAGGAAATGTCTTAAAATAAAATAAAATAAAAAAAAAACAAATGAAATAAAATAAAATAAATTAAATAAAAATAAAATATAAATAAATGCCAATTTAATAAATAATAAAATAAATAAATAAAATAAAATAAAATAAAAAAAAATTTAATCAAATGGAAAAAGTAATATAAAAAGAAATAAAATAAAATCAACCAAAATAATATAAAAAATAAAATAAAATAAATACATAAATTGAGACATTTAATACCGCTTTAGACTTTATTTGGAGATTTAAAGATTAGTAAATTGTTAAAAAATTTAACATTTTAGTACTTCAGCTTTGTGTATATAAATGAAAACTCATTTATTCATTCCTTTATTTATTTACTTATTTTAAATTTGCTTAGCAATTAAGAGGCTAAATAAGAAATACAATAATACTTTTATAAATATAAGTAAATAGAAGTAGCAGAGTTTCAATGAGCAAAAAAGTAATGGAAAATAAAATAAATAATCGGAAACCTTAGATAAAAGTAAACAAGAAACAATGGAAGGTTGTCAACAATTTTTTGTTTCTTCATTTATAATTTATTTATATATATATATATATATATGCCTAGCAGGCAAAAGAAACCAAAATTATTACAATTTTAAAGTAAATTTAAATGAAATACAACAATAAACAGATATAAGGTTGGAGACCAAAAACAATGTGGTAAATATGAAGTAAAATAGAAAAATAGAAAGAAGTTAAAAAGTGATTAAAAAATAATTCCGACGCCACTTAAAGAAGTAAACATTTTTTTTTTACATTTCAAGTACAAATAAACAATAAAATTAATAAAACATTATAACAATATGTATGTGTGTATATAATTTAAATGTACTTACTACTTTTGCTTAATATTATGTACATATTTGACTCATTCATCATCATTCTTTTTGTGCACTTGAAAATTCTCATAAATCATTTCTTGCCACTTGTCTTTGCTACTTTATGTTTTTCAAAACAGATTTGGAGTTGCACAACGAAAACATTTTTTTATACATATGCATATATGTATTTTTTTTTTTTTATTAAGTTACACTAAACGTCTGCTCGCCATATGCACCACACTTGTTTACGATCAACAATCAGCAAATACCACGCGTGTGGTTTTGTAGCAGATAACGGTGTTTGGCTGAATGCTTTTCAAGCCTTCGAGACGCAGAAGTGAATTAAAGCTACTATTAGAAGTAAAGAATAAAAGAATGTATATTTAATTATTTTAAATGTCTTTTCCCTAATTTTTTTCTTTTTATCAAAAAAGCCAACAAAAGAAACTATTATTTTATTCTGAATACTATTTTTATTTAATTAAAGAAAATATTTATTTAATTTAAAAATATTTTCCACTTCAATATGCTCAAAAAATGAAGACTTCTCTTTTATTTTAATTTACAACAAATTCTTTAAAAAAAAATTAACTAGGTCAATTGCGATTAAATACTCTTATCGGCGCCCACATTCATATCATAGGCCTAGTACAGGTAATGTTTTAAAGATAACCGAAAAAAATACATATAAATAAAAAGTAAAAGCAATTGAACGAAATTAAATAAATACCATAGCTAATGAACATTTTCCATTATATCAATAACACGCGGGCCTTTAAATACCCTCGTAGTGGGGAAACAAAAAAAATTTCATTATTTTCGCCGCCAAGTTTTTTTTCCAAATAGTTGAACGCGTTGCACATATTAATTAACTTTTGTGCAGTCAATGAACTTTGCGGTAAACAATTTGAAGTTATAATTTGACTATGTCGAAAGTTATTTTCTTTAAATGTTAAATGGTATTTAGCTCAATATGAGTTTGAATAAATACATACATACGTGTACGTGTATGTCTGCTTGTGGAATTGTAGTAAACAACGGTTAAATTAATGCGAAAAAGCACAAAAAAGTTATAAATTTAAGCAAATAAATAAAATCATAGACGTCAATATACCTGCACATATATGTATGTATTTGTCTACCTGCATTTCGTAGTGAGTTTGTTGCTTTCGTTGAACTCTTTTGTTTTCATCAAACCCAATTAGATAAGTGGACGACGTAAACAAGACATAATATACATACATATATACATACTCGTGCATACAATAATGTTGTTTGTTTACGACACTGAACAAATGCGTGAACATAAACTTTCGAAATCGACGAAATTTTTGTAGTAAACAAACTAAATCCCAAAACGAAAAAGTTAAAAATTATTTATTAAATGAAACAAAATCAAATAAAAAATTTAAATAAATAAAATAAAAAATTAAAGGAAATAAAATAAAATTAAATATAATTAAACAAAAAACAAAAATTAGATTAATTAAATGATAAATAAAATAAAATTAATTAAAGTAAAATACCTTCAAACAAAGTAAAATAAAATAAATGTATATGTATTAAATTAAAGTACAAGAATTAAATTCATTAAAAATAAATAAAATAAAAAAATCAACACAAAGTAAAATAAAACAATTTAAATTAAAATATATTATAAAGAAATAAAATAAAGTAAAAAATTAATTAAATCAAACTAAATAAAGCAAAATAAATAAATAAAAAAATAATTAAGATTAATAAAAATTAAATAAATAAAATTAAAACAAAAAAAATTAAAAAATAAAAATATAATATACAAATAAATATTTATAAATTAACTAAACTTATATTATTTTAACATTACAAAAAATATATTAAAGAAAATATAACATAAATTGAAGCAAATAAAATGAAACAAAATAATAATAAAATAAGATATAACAAAATAAATAATTTAATATAAAATAAATAAAAATAATAAATTTAGTTAAATGAAATCATCAAAGAACTAAAACAAATCAATATACAATAAATTGAAATAAAATAAAAAAAATAAAATAAATAAAAAATAATAAAATAAAATAAAATAGAAAATAATAAAACTAAATATAAGACAATAAATAAATAAACTTAAAACAAAAAATAAATAAATAAAAAAATGTAAAATAAACTAAAATAATACTATTTGAAACAGTAAAAAAAATATAACAAAATAAACTAAGGCAAATAAAATTAAACAAAATAAAATAATAATGAAACAAGATAAAGTAAAATAATTAAATTAATATAAAATAAATAAAAATAAAATAATAAATTTAGTTAAATGGAATCAACTAATAAATATTAATAAAATAAACTAGAGCAAAATAACAAAAAATATATTTAAATAAAATTTAACAAAACAAAGGGTTTAATAAAATGAAGTTAAATAAAGTAAAACAAACGAATATTAAAATAAATTTAAAAAAGTGAAAAAATTTAAACAAAATAAGTAGTAATAATCAAAAGACAAAATAGATAAATTAAAATAAAATAAGAGAAAAATAAAATAAAATGAAATAAAAACAAAAATAAAAATATTATTAAATGAAAAAAAAAAAATTAAATAATATTGTAATAAAATAGAATAATAATAAAATAAAACAATGTAAAACACAAAGAAATTCAATGGATAAAAGTGAAATAAATTAAATGAAAAAAGTTAATGAAAAAAAAAAAAATAAAGTAAAAAATAAATTACAATAAAAAAATGAAATGAAATTAAATAAAATATTATTATATAAATCAAAAAAAAAATAATATAAAATAATATTGTAATAAAATAGATAATGAAATATTACAGATATTACAAAATAAAACTTTGAAATCTTGCCTTCTACAAATACATTTATTACTGAGTACCTTTTATATTCATAAAATTTAAAAATATTTTTTTTTTTGTTTAACGATTAAAATAAAATCCTTTCTTAATTTACAAACGTGACTAAACGAAAATCTTGCGACTAAAAAAAAGTAAATAAATAAAAAAATATCTTAAATTAGAAGTTATCGATTTCTTACTTCAACACCACACCCTGCGCTATATACATCCTTTATTATATATATATGTATGTATAACATAGTTTTCTATAAATTTATTATAATTCAGTTCTACTCATTTGTTTAACTTATTTTTCTTCACTTCTTTATCATTTTAGCATTCCAACGCCGCTGCTCGCATACAACATCGTTCGGCCTGCACGGCTGCTGCAATGCCTTCGGCGCCTCTCGTTAACATGTCTATGGCACCAGTATGTAATGGCAGCTACTGTCTGTTGAAACCAAGGCTAAATAATACATATTTAACTAAGCGTAAGAGTAGCTCAAAGAAACGGGTGTCCACGGTAGCATCATCAAAGCGTGACGAAGAAAGGTGAGTGAGTGTACAAGAACAAAAAAAAAAAGATGCAATTATACATAAGTACTCGTATATATATACATAATTGGTGCTTCATAGCCGCTGCAGCGTTTTTTCGGTCGTGCTTCAGCCCAATTAAACATAAATATGTACATATAAGAATTTTATAATAATTTTTTATGGTAAATTAGTCGACTAATTTATTTTATTTTCTCTTACAGTGATAGCGATTCCGATTCGGATGATGAATTTGAACGCAAACGTACAAGCGTACGCACCAAGCACAGTGAGAGGGTAAGCATTTTGTTATAAGAAAATATTAAATCGAAAAAATTCTTGGGAGACTTAATATATTTTTTTTGTTACACAAAAGTGATATGAAATATTCTAAAGCTTAAAATGTTAAAAATTAAATAAAAAAAATATATATAAAAGATAAATTGACAATAGGTCTAACTGAATTAGCTAGTTATACATATGTGTATATATATATTAATAATAATGCTCGAATTATATTTTTTTGCAGAATATAACAAAGCTTTAAATACAAAAAAAAAAAAAAAATTCAAATTTATGTGACTTCCATACCCTACAACATCTCAGCAGGTTTACTGCAAACAGAAATAAAAAGTTATAATCAAATGTGTCTTCTATGCAAATATTTCGTATATTCATATAACAGTTTTTTCCTCAACAAAACTATTTAATAAATTAAAATTAATTCTTTTCCTCTCTCACAACAAACCAAACATGTTTCTTTGCTGTATTTAATAAGCTCAAAACATTATAATAGCACATGCCGGCATTTTAAATGAGTTAAACAAATATAAATTTAAAAAAAAATTAGAACCGACTAATAGAAAAAGTCGAAATATTTTTTTTATCGCCTTTAAACGTGGCATATCAGACTATAGACTAAAGGTAGTAAGACGGGTTATTCATATTATTGAATATGAATTCGTAAACGATGTTATTTATTCATAATGAAGAAAGTATGACAGACAGATAAATACGTTAAGCAGAAAATAAATTAATTTGCATGAAAAGCTAAAACAAAAAAAAAAAAAAAAACAATAAATAACTAAAAGTTCAGTGGAAAAAGTGAAACACAAAAATGCTTAAAAAATTTTAAATATTTTTGTTTCTTTGATAACAATACCTATTTGAAATTAATTTTTTTTCCTCTTTCCTTTCTCTTACTTTAATTAATTTCATTTCATTGAATTTTTTTATTTTGTTTCAATTTTGTTTTATTTCATTTCATTTTTTTAAATTTTATTTTATTTTATTTTATTTTATTTTATTTTATTTTATTTTATTTTATTTTATTTTATTTTATTTTATTTTATTTTATTTTATTTGATTTGATTTGATTTGATTTGATTTGATTTTATTATATTTTATTTTATTTTATTTTGTTTTATTTTATTACTATTTTTATTTTTTTTTTTAATTTTTATTAAATTTATTTTATAATTAACTTTTTATTTAATTTTGGTTAATTTATTTTGATTTTTCATTTTAGCAACATTTTGCCTTAAATTGTTTTATTTAATTTTATTTTTATTTAGTTTTATTTTATTTAAGTTTAATTTATATTATTATTACTATTTGTTATATCATTTTGTTTCATTTTACCTTATTTTTTTTTTAATTTAACTTTATTAAATTTTAATTGAATGAATTACTCCTTTTAATTATTTAATTTTTTTATTTAATATTGTTTTATTTTGTGTATTTTATTTTCTTTAATTTTATTTTATTTTGATTTTTTTACTTTATTTTTCATTTGTTTTATTTTTTTTTTACCTTATTTCATTTTTATTTGTTTCCACTAATTTAATATTTAGTTTTAATTTTTGATTGTCTTACTTTTTCTTGGCTTCATTAAATTTTGTGTTTACTAAACTCCACTTTTTTAATTTTTAATATTTTCTTTTTAGTTTATTTTATTTTGTTTTATTTATTATTATTTTTCTATTTTATTAATTTATTGATTTTTATTTTATTATTTTACTTTTATTATTCATTACTTACTTTTTTTTTAAATTATTATTTTATTTAGATTCATATATTCTATTTTTAATCAAATTTTAATATTTTTGTGAACTTTTTTTCTGCACACCCGCAACCACTTCTTGTTTAAACAAAATACATATTAAGTTTCCTCGGAAAAAAATATTAACAAATCAACTTATTTGAAAAATTTTTCTAAAAATCGAAAAAATATTTAACTCTTTCTCTCTCTCTCTCTCTCTCTCACCTTGCAGGGCGATTCCGAGTTCTGGCGTCGCAAAATGCGTACGCTTCATCGCATACTCGATGTGAATCGCGATGGTGTGATATCCTTTGATGATTACAAATTGCTTGCCAAACGCTTTACCGACTTGGGTCATCTAACGCCTGAGACGTCCGCCGAATTCGAGGAGGTGATGCGTCAAACGTGGGTGGAGCAATTTGGCGAAATTACGCCATATAATTTAATAACTGCCGAGCAGTTCTTAGTTGAGGTACATCATCGTCTCAACGATGAGCAGATGGAAAAACGCATCGGACGCTTTTTACCATATTTATTTAAGGTAAATCATAAACTAGTCATAATTTGTTATCTTCAGTTAAGTAATCTCTCTCTCTGTCACACCTTCAGGCCGTTGATTACGATCATACCGGTCATTTGGATCTCGAACAATATAAATTGTTCTTCCGCTGCTTGGGTCTTTCGGATGAAGATGCTGCTATTTCTTTTGCTGTGATAGACAAGAATGGCGATGGCCAATTGTCGTTAAAAGAGTTTCTCCATTTGGGTCGACAATATTTCCTAACTGAAGATGATACGAAAATATCGAAAATGTTTTGGGGCCCCTTAATCGATCATTGACTTGTTGACCATGCGTACACCGCTGTGTTGGAATTATTGCTGCGCGGCCAAATGCATGATCTACAACGTGCACAATATATTCTCTCCATACTCTGCATGCAAAATGTCTCGGAGCAATTTGGTATATTCAATGACGACCTAATCAATGAAGGCAACCCTTTGCTAAGACTATTATTTTATGTTAATACATTTATTTTATTATCGATAGCGTGGCGTTCGTATGAGCGTGGCGATTTTAAGCATTTTATCGTAGGTAATATAAGAAAATTAAATGAATCACAAAAGAAAGCAAAGAAGATAAGAAAAAGAAAAAGGAAAAGAAAGTAAAAAAAAAATTAAAATTTTAAAAAATAAAATATAAAAAAATTATAAAAGGATAATAATTGTTTTATTTGAAATACGATCATACTCAGCTCTAGTGGGTAAAATTTTGAAATGATTGATGGAAGAGAGCATTGAAGTGACAGGTTGAAGTGGTCGCTGTGCACCAGCTTACTTAGGCCACCCAACGGACCCATTGTGATACTGCTTAAGGTCCTCTAACCACGGACTAGTCCAACCAATGCGTGGAGTTCGCCGCATTGTCCAATCGACGTATGTTTCCCCTCGCTAATTCGTTCAAATCTCCAAAGGTTGCCGCCCCTAGAGGTTTCAATAAACTCCTCCAATTCATTTCGATCCTTTTTCCTCTCTCTACAACTCCGGCAGCCTTTGGATGGTACGCCCAGCCTGTTGCATATAACTATCGAATGATGTGTGAAACATGACGACTGAGACTAAAGGCTTCTTGGTGCAAGTTTGCCGCTTTGCTACTGCAAAAGCCCTTAACGATGACCGCTACAAGTTCACTAGAACTTGATTTAACGACATTCACCGTGTTCCGTACATTAGTCCCTTACTTGGGAAGGTATAGCCGACCAGTTTGTTGATTTCTTCGAAAATATTATGGCTGGCATAACCGTCGTCCAGAGGATGCAATGAACGACGGAAGAGCGAAAGATGAATGGTCATATAAGGGAGTAAACATTTTATGTTGGTTTTCTGGTCACAGAGGCACACGGTCTACGAGTACTATGGTTAACACCGCTGGATCAGGTTGTTCGTATGGACCTGATCACTTTAGCTTTGATAGTTGGATAATATCCGTTGGCGGAAGCGATGAATGAGGGAGACTTCCAGTCTATTAAATAAAAAGTTCAGTAGTCGAAGGATCTGGCTTCATTTGGTGCCTTCAATTTCCTTCGTGTGGTCAAATAAAGAATGACATATGAAGTGTGGTATTGTGGTGCGAATGTCATTGGTCCGTCGTATGCTATCATTTCGTTGGATCATATCCTTTTAAGCTGGGTAATGTCTGAAAAGAAAATCTGCAACCTGCCAGAAAGATTCAACGTAGAAAGAGAATTTCCGTAGGATGATCTAGTCTCGCAGATATCAAAAGTCTGTGCAGTTAAGAGATCTTGCTTATGGAGCGCAATCGCCTCCGTACGGCCTTTGGGTTTTTATGAGTAGCTTCTATTTTATGTTAGAAATGCACGCGTAGTGGTTGACATTCCAAATAACCGATTTATGTCGAATATTCTTGTCCCTATCGGCAAAAAAATTCGACAATCGATTTTCACAAACCTCTCGTGAGGCCAGTTCTTAACCAGCCAAATCATTCGGCATAGAAAGGACACGTTGGTAATCACTTGGTGCAAGGTCCAGACTATGATGAGGATGCATAAGAGATTCGCAATCAAACTCTCGGAACTTCTGGCGAGTCACTATGGTATGTGTATGGTCTGACGTTATCCTGTTGAAACACAATTCCACTCCAGTTGGCTAAAGCTGGGCTCTTCTGGATTATTACTGCCTTCAGACGGTCTAATTGCTGACAGTACTTGTTTAAAAAAAGAGTAGGAGGAAATTCATAGTGTCAATCCAACCAAAAATGCAACGAAACCTTCCTGGTTGTCAATTCTGGCTTGGAAACCGCTTGTAACCACCAGCGTTTTCTTCTGAAATTGCCCACTTTTGTTTCCAAACTTGTTTTTTGTACAATTTTTAGCTACTGGGAAATCGAAACAGTGCTCGTATTGACCTTCCATATTGCGAAGCATCTTTTAAATAATAATTATTAAAAAAAAAAAATGAGTAATGGATTGAGATCTGATACATCGAAGTTGCATATTGACACCAACACTTGCTGAAATGTGTAAACTAATAAACATCTGGAGCCGATTAATGGCCTCTATCATGCCAAATTAATTATGGATCAAAGTCCAACGATTTAAAGTAGTTTTTGATAAATACAATAAAATGGAATTCATTGAAAAAACACCAAAATTTAATTAATTTAGAATTCAATCATGTAGTGCTAATTAAGTGGAAGAAGAAGAATACATACAGGAGTCCTTTTGTATTGAGCATTTTATTGATTATCAAATCATATCATAAGAAAATGAAATATGTATGTATGTATGTATGTATGAATGTATTACATTAAACAAAATTAATAAACAAAAGAGCGAACTGGAACAGAGCAAATATGATAGTTTTGCCATTTAATGCGCTTGAAAACTTAACTGAAGGCTACACATTTTCGTATTAAACGCCGAGCTTCTTGTTAATATGTTTGACATCACGAATTTGGGAATCCACTTCGGCAGCGCTGAAAAAGAATTGGCAAATAACACATAAAAAGGTTTTTAAGAAATATTTTTTTTTTAATTAAAAGAAAAACTAAAGGGTTTGAGGCATAAGGAATTTAGTTAAAAAAAAAAAACCGGTTAAAAAAAAACAAAAATACTGTTTTATACAAGCAAAAATATTTTCATTCGCACTGTACATCTCGCACAGGGTGTATCGAAATTTTAGATATTTTTTACGCTTCGCATATTTGGCCTCACAGGTTTGTGTCTTGGCGTATAAATTAAAAATTTGAATTTACCATAAAAAATATATTCATATCATATATTTTCCAACCGACTGAATATTTATTATGGCTTAGTTAACCATAAACGAATCCTTTTATTTAAGGAAATCGTCGAGCAGGTTAAAATGAAGCAACAACACGCATAACAGCATATTGGAGGAGGAGCTCGGCCGAAAAATCGCTTCAGCGGTTACAAAGCACCAATTATATATATATCTCGAATTATGCCCATTTTATACTCAGCTAGCAGCGTGATGAGTGGGATAAACTAATAAAAAGGACCAACTCTGGCTCGTAGAATCGACTGCAGTTAAATTAATGTTTGAAGAAAAATAGTTTTTGAACCCTTCCATGTTGCTTACTTCAAAGATGCTAATCCTTACAGCCTGTTGTCTATTACATTTTATATATGTATGGTACTTTGTAACTGCTGAGATGATTTTGACCAAGTTCCGCATCCAATTTCTGATATGAATTTTGAAGTTTTTCTAACATACGAAGGGACCTACAGTTTATGCTAAGCCACCTCCAACGGCCGCTGGATTTTTATGAGAAGCTTTTTTATTACATGTCAGAAATGCACTCGGCAGGCTCGTCATTCCCTGCCGAGGGACGAAAAATTAATTTTCTGAAATTTTGAATGTTGGCCGAACCACCACCACTCGATCCATGTCCCTCCGAATAGCCGAACGCAATGCAAACCAGTCGGCACTGTGGCCGCCAGTCGAAGGATTACAAGATTCTCACTCACAGCGGCAACCCCGTCGAAACAGCTCGTTTCCTGGACCTACAATTAAATGACCTCGGCGACTTTGACTGATCAAACATGTGCCTGAGTGGGGTTAGCGAACCGCTACAACAACAACAACAACAAATTTTTTCAATATGGTTACTGGAAGATTTTTAATAACCTCAAAAAAAAAAAAAAAAAAAAAAAACTAATACACGTATATACGAAAACCGGGACGTACTCACATATATAAACGGCAAATCTTTGCCTTAAAACTTATGCAAAGTTTTTGTTGTTGCAGCAGCTGGTCTAACCCTGCTTAGGAACAGGCAAGAACAGTCTAAGTTATCGAGGTCACCTAACAGAAGGTCCAGGAAACGAGCTCTTTCGAAGGGTGCGGGAGTAAAAAGGGGTAACCCCCCAGTAGTAGATTTTAAAAGCCATCTTTAACCTCCTTTAGAAACAGGTAAAGTCTATGCCTTCGCGATTATTGAACGAGAGGCTCAGGAAACGAACTGTTTCAACGGATTTCCAACAAAAAATAAAGGGATGTTAGGTGAGTCGGTTTAAGGGTACATACAAAGAGGTGGTTAGTGGCATGCTGAACATATGTTGGACATATTGGGCTCGAATCTGGATAGGTAGGAGTTGAGCCTGCTAGTTAGATCAGCATTATTTGGATTCGGATGCGAGCTTCTCTCATTTGCGACTGATAGAGGTCAGGTTATAATAACGCTATTCAAGGGAAGGAAGGAGTTTATATAAATGATATTCTAGAACCGCCGATCAAATGTCGTGTCCAGCAGTATTGCTGTATTTTATCCGGGTAGTCATGTATATCTCTATCGATGCATCTGGAAGACAGCTGTCCTTCAAACAAATATCAGCAAAGCTAGATACATATCCCCAATCCCCAGCGTCTAGATTGATGCAGTATTATTTATGAGCAAGAGCGGTCGACCTTTCGGCTTATACATTATCAGTAATGTCCCTTCATCTTTGTCCCAGGTGTTGCCGGGTAGTGATTTGTGAATATTTTTCTGGCTCTGTACCTGAATGACGTAAGCGTTCGTATGCGGTGCGAAGAAGTGCAAGCTGTGGAATGATACTCGCGGTAAGTACGAGCTTTTGATATGCGGAATTTTCACGTCATGGCTTTTTTTTTAAGATTTTTGTAGACCTAACCGGGCGAACCTTCGTAAAGCGAGTAAAAGTGATTAGAGAACAAGTTTGAAATATCGGCGAGGTAGCCGCTAACTTGTACAAAGCTCGTTCGTAAAGAACAAGTAGTCATCGTCATAAGAAATCAATGAGGTTCCCTCTGTTGGTGGATGGCGTTTGAAATGTAAGAAACAAACAATACCGGTGCGACCACATCACCCAGTTGAACAACTTTCTTACTTTCCTTGGTTTGGAAGTTTGCCCTCAGACCTGTTAATTCATTGCCCAACCCCTCAAACCCAGAGAGCCATTGTTATTGGACTTGCTAGAAAGTATATTCTTGTCTTATAGTTATGCGCGAAACCAGTCTTTTGCTAATAAGCCTAATGGAGACGCTTGTCTGTGAACTCAGCAGGTTAGGAATTCGTGGGGCGATCACTGGGAAGATCTACTAAAAGATCAGAGACTACTCACGCGAAAGAGGTTTATGGAAGTTTACAATAAAAAAAGCCGCTGCACGGTTTAGGGAAGAGGAAATCAATCAAAACCTTTAAAAAAATTATTTTGTATAAGCCGTACCTTACACAGTTTCCTGGCATTACATGAATGCCCACACACACACATTTTACGTCTTCTCTAATCTTAGACTAGTCTTGTCGAAAAGGAAAAAAATTCCATATTTCTCACTTACATCTGCATTAGTATCTCCTTAATATTCCTCTCTTGTCGCTCTGGCAAATGGAAAGTCTTTTTCTTACTCGTCTGATTGTACTTGGAGATCTGCAGGAAGCGTAAAAGTGGAAAATATTAATTTACTTTTCAAAATTTTAAATAAAAAAATAAATAAATTACATGATAAGTTTGCTTGTTGATACTATCTCGCGCCTTTTGCATGGCATTTGCCAAAGTTTTAGTCTCCTTATTGATGCGTTCGACCTCCTTGGCGAACTCTTTATCAGCAATTGGATTGGTGGGCAGACGTGTGTGAGCTTGACGCATCAGATGCTGACATCTATTGAAACAGAATCAAAAAAATTACATTAATTAAATTAGATATTTTTTAAAATATTCCACACTCACTTCTTTGTTATGAGTTCCTGCTGCTCGCTTATCTCCTCGAAACGTTCGGCCAGCCGATGTGCTGTCTCACGTATATTCTCACGCTCCCGTTCCAACTCCACAATTTCACGTTCCTGTTGATCTTTACGCAATTTTATTGTATTCACACGTTTCGTAATCTCAGCGCGCACACGCTCGTGACGCCTCAAGTATTGTGTACGCAAAACCTCTATGGCTTGTGTTAGCAGTTCATAGCTTTCTTGTGGTGTCGGCGAACTCGACTTATCTACGGAGAGTATTGGTTGTGTGACATCACGTTTGAGCAAGCTCTTGACATGATCGATAAAAGACGGCTCCAGCATACGATCTAATTCAGACTTGCCATCCAACTTGGGTAGGGATTTCTCAACTTCTTCTTTAATCTTTACAGATTCAACAAGTATTTTAGGATCTATTATCAGCTTTAGGCTAATCACTTCACCGCTACCAAGTAGTAGTACAACACCGGCTGGCATTTGTAGTAAGACGAAGCCGAGTACGGCATTAATACGTTCGCTTGCATCGATTTTCGTGCAAACAATGTACTCGGCATTCGAAGCGATCGATAGTGGACTGATGTCGGAGTCGACTGTGGTGGAGAGGGAGTGTTTAGTAAATGTGTAGAGGTAAAAAGCTTTAACTACTCACCTTCGCTTTCGACGAAGCGCTGCAGTTCGGATATGAAATTAACGGTTATTGCATGCAGTCCAGCATTGTGATAGGCAAAGTAGCGCAACTCATTGATATAATCGCTGGAAGGTAAATTTTATTGAGGTTAGGATAATTTTGTATAGCGGAAAGTTAATCTAGTTGCTGTTGTTGTGTTATCTACATAACAACAAGTTATTATATGGTATCGGTAACGGAAAAAGAGGGTTAGTGGAGATGGTTCGCGACGTGGTCATACTCAGTCGCAGTTAGACCTGCCACAATAGCCAGTCAGCAATACTACCCGAGCATATGGGGGTCAAATTTGGATGGGTAGCACTTTAACCTACGATAATATCTAGATCCCTGTAGCACCAATGTTATGAAGATCTTAAAGGGCAGGCCAACACTTTCAATTACAATACGTGAAGCTTTGACTCTGTTCTTGTTGTTGTAACAGCAAAAATATTCCCCAAGGTACTTTTTGGAAATGTTGCGGGGGTGATAGGCTTTGACCGGGTAAAAATCCGGGTCGTTCCGGTATACAGGTTAGACTGTCGTGGGAACTATTTGATTTTAGTCGCCGCTTATGACAGGTACGCCTTACCGTGGGTAAATTCTTGAGTCCCTAACCCCCAGGAGGTGCTGATGGACTCTCTGTGAATATAGCTACGCAATCGAGTACGTCCAGTCTGCGAAGCGGCTCTGTTTCGCGGTGTTCGAGTATGGAGAACCGTCTCTTTAGTAGCATCCTCCTTAACTGGGAGCAGAAATATTCTGGATTTAAGTTCATGTCAAGGCAAAATGGCAAGGTTAGTTATAACCATCCAGAGGATGGTATACTCGCTGAATACTTTCCAGCTTGCTGCTATAAGTAGCCTTGTTTAGTGCTGGCCCCGAGAATAATAGAATAATCGTTGTACAGCTAGTACACAATATTGTGGTCTTAGCTCCCATCTCTTGCCAAACGACTCTTGCAGGCATAGAGTGCGGACGTTACACCTTTCTAGCGTGTTATGGTTCCAGAGGAGTTTTATGAATAGGTATTTTAATTCGGGATCAAGAGCGTTAAAGGTGCTTTTAAGCACGGTTGGCTTAAAAGCAAAGCCTTCTAGTAAGGAGTACCTGTTCGGTCTCATCCGGAACGCACTCACTGTGGAGAAAACATGGCCTATGGATTAGATGTCTAAGAATTTACTAGTAGTAAGGCGGGTTCCCAATGATTTTTTATGCCAGTCGGATCTTTAAACCGATTTTCCGTGCTTATAACAACAACAACACATACTAAAATAATAAATTAAAAAAAAAAATCTAAAAAAAAATAGCCACAAACCGTTTCAAATATATCGGACAATTGTAAGTCTTCGATTTTGGATCATCCTTTGGCAGGCCCAACTCCAACAACACCGACTCCAACACATGTATGGTATACTCAGATGGATGTATAATCAAACTGGCGTCGACTTCATTGAATGACTGAAAGAAAGAAAAGGGATTTTGCAAATTAAAAACAAAAGATTTTTATTTCACTCAAATTACAAACCTCTTCTGCCTCTGCCGCTTCGAGCAACAAGGCATGATACAATGTGCCATTCGATTCCGCAATCACGAGTGTTGGTGGCAATGATGGTATAACTAGAATGGCACAAGAATCCAAGCCATAATTGTTATTACTTTGTGGTGTGATTGTTATGGGACCTTGTAGGCGTGGTCTGTGTGGAAGGAAGAGAAAGAAAGAGAGAAAGAGAGAGAGAAATGTATATTTGAGGTTAAAAAATACAAATCTTTGAATTATTTCCAAAACCAACTTACTTATTACTATCCAGTCCAGCCATTAGTATATAAATATTACCATTCTCACGCAGCACAACAATGGGCCATTCAAAGCGTTCGGTACTCTGTGCGGTTTTCTGAAATATTGACATTAATTTTCGTTAGAAATCACTTCAGAGACCTAAAATATTTATTATTTATTCACTTACATTATTTCCCGTTGTAGTCTCATTTAACGATTTCGTTAGATTACGACTATGATTCAACGAGTCCTTAGTGGTATTATTATTGATTGTAGTTGAAGAATTTAATACTGCGTCTTCCTTCAAGGCTACAGCAGGCGCAATATCAAAATCTACAGCAAAATCGCCAATTATTAAGGCTGTTGTTAGCGAATTATTGAGACTGTTGTCGGACTTTATTGGAACTGGTCCCACCTTCCAGACGTGACGTAGAGTAGAGTTGTCATAAACGCTGAAAATGTTAAAAAAAGTAATAATAATATTATATGTACTGCTATGTGTCACTAGAGTAATGATAAACTATTATTTATATAAAATCCTAATAATATCCGAAATATTGGGAATCTGATGATTATAATATATTTTTATGCAATTTCGAGAAGAAGTAAAACGAAGTGTAAATTCAAAAAGCATCTTTCTCTCTCTTTAAATTTTTTCAAATTCAAAAAAAAAAAAAAAAAAAAAAAGTCACAAAAAGCATCTCTTCTCTTTTTCTCTTTAAATATTTTGATATAATCTCATTATTTTATGCCACCACTGTACTTAATTATAGCCAAAAAAAAAGTAGCTAAACAATAAATTAAACGTAGGGATTAGAAAATACACTGCAACACTGACACTTACCGTATTGTATTGTCCGAGAGGAGGACCAACAAATGCGAGTCAGTGGGGGAAAAGGGATGCCAACGCAATTGACGCAGTTCCAGGTGTGGATTGTTGCTAAATAGTTGAGCGTCTAAATTGAATGCGCTGCAGAGACAAAAAGAGAAAGAAATTAGAGTAAATGGAATATGAAGTTAAGGGGGAAATAATTGAATTGAATTTTTTAGTCAAGAAAAAATTATATGAAAAATATAATTAAATAAAGAAAAATAAATGAAAATTGAGATGAAATAGAGTAAAACAAAAATAAGAAAAATAAATAATAAATGGAAAATAAAATATAGAAATATAAATAAAGATAAAAATAAAATATAAAAAGAAAAAGAAAATTAAAAAAAAATCCATAACATACAGAATTATAAAAATAAATAAATGTAAAATTGAAAATGAAAAAAATAAATAAAATAAAGGAAGAAAGAAAACGGAAAATCATAAATATTTATATAATAAAATAGAGGAAAATAAGTAAGCTAAAAAATTAAAAATAGAATATAAAAAAAAATTATAAAATATAAAAATATAAGAAAATAAAGGAAATAATAAAATATTAAAAATAGAGGATAATAAAAAGGGAAAAAATTAATAATGGAAAATAAAATATAAAATTACAAACAAAGGTAAAAATAAAATATAATATGAAAAGTAAAGGCAAAATTAAAAAAATACTTAACACAAAGGAGAAATAATAAAATAAAGGGAAAAATTGAAAATGGAAAATGAAAAAAAATATATATATAATATTATATAATTGAGAAAAATAAACAAATGATAAATGAAAAATTAAAAAAATATAAAAAAAAACAAAGGAAGAAATAAAAATAAAACAAAATAAGGGAGAAAAATATAAAAAAAGGAATAAATAAAAAAAAAATATTTTCCAAAAATATGGGTAACTAACTAAATAAATGAAAAATAGAAAAAATGGAAAGTAAGAAAAAAATAAAATATGAAAAACTAGGAAAATAAATAAAGAAAAACAAAAATAAAAAAAAAGGAAATAAACAAAGGGGAAAATTGAGAAAGGAAAGTAAAAACAAAATAAAATAAAATAGAGGGAATTAAGTGGGCTAAAAAATTAAAAATGGTATATTAAAAAATAATAATATATAAAAAATACAAGGAAATAAAAAAGTAAAAAAAAAATAAAAAATTAATATAAAATATAGAAAAATAAATAAAGATAAAAATAAAATATAAAAACGTAAGGAAAAATATAAAACATACAATAAATAGAGGAAAATAAACAGAGAAAAAATGAAAAATGGAAAACAATAAAAATTGAAATATTAAAATAGATGAAAACAACAAGGGGAAAACAAAAAAAAAAATAAACAGTAAATTTAAGAAAATATAGGAAAAAGTAAAATTAATAAAATATAAAAAATAAAGGCGGAAAATTGGGATAGATAAGCATAGGAGAATGAAAATAAAAAATAATGTAATAAAATAGAAGAAATAATATAAGGAAAAAAACTGAAAAAAGAAAAATTAAAAACAAACATAAAATTATATAGAAGAATAGACAATGAAAAATAAATATTAAAAAAAAAAATTGAATATTTAAGAAATTAAAGGAAAAAATAAAAATAATAAAATATTAAAAATAAAAGAGGAAAATTGCGGTAAATGAGCATAGGAAAATGAAAATAAAAAATAATGTAATAAAATAGAAGAAAATATATAAGGGAAAAAACTGAAAAAAGAGAAGAATAAACAATGGAAAAATTAAAAAAAAAAAATAAAAAAAAATAATATATAAAAAATATATGAACTTAAAAGAAAAAATAAAAATAATACAATATTAAAAATAAAGGAAAATATTGTATATGGGGTAAATAAATAAAAGAAAATGAAAAATGGAAAAATTAAAAATTTATTAAAATAGAGGTAATAACATACAATAAGGAAAATAAATAAAAAAAAAATATTTAAAAACTAAAGGAACAAAATTTAAAATGACAAATAAATAAAGAGGAAATCTACAAAATCAAAATTACAAAAATTTAAAATCTGAATATTTATTTTATAAGCCAAAAATTGTGGCTTGCAGATCAACCTCATTAGAGCAAGAGAAGAGTAAGTATTTTTTTTTTGTTTTTTTTTTCGTCTAACTGTTTCTTGGCAAGTAAATTACATAGTTGCGTTGGCTTAGTGCGGTTTAAAATGTTAGCAAATAAATTCACTTAGAAAAGCCGCTTTTGAGCCAACCAACTGTGTATAAATAGTAAACCACTTGCCATATACAACAGCATTTAAATGTTGCACATGTGAGCATAACAAGAGAGAAGTAAAAACTAAAAAAAAAATATGATAATAAGAAAAAGCCTCAACAATGACTCGCTCTACCGCCACTAGTCTCAGTAATGTGTTTTAAAAAAAGAAAGAAAACAAAAAAGACCACAAACCCCTGGGAGCTCTTCTAAATGAATTAATTTACCTGAACAAGCGACAACGGCAGCGTAGTGAGAAATTTCATAAGATTGAGGTTATGTGTCGCTTGTATATTTGCCACATATATACATACATATATATGTGTAGGCACATGTTTGCTTATAACTCCGCACAAAACTTTGATAAGCTCAATTTATGCGCGAAATTATTTCCATAATGAACAGCGGAAGTCAAGCAAGCCTAGCGGTATTTTTACTATTTTTTTATTTTTGAAGTACCAAGAGAGTGTCTTAAGTATTTAAAAGAGGTTATCTCCTGTGTACTACTGTAATTATAAACCTATACTTCGTTGCAGGTACATACATATTTATGCACTTATATGTGTGTCTCATATGTGATTTTCGAGTGCTAAATTATGCAGAAAAACGCTTTATATGCATAACCTTGCGCCTTCACGCATCATCTTTTCAGTTAAGCGATTTTTTAATTATTTACACACTTACTGTGTTTACGCACTGATAAGCGTTTAACGGGTTGTGCAGTACATAGTACATATAATATGTAGAAATGAAAGTATGTTTATTTTAGGCTTCTTTTTCATATTTTGTAAAGAAAACATACACACTCATAGAATAAATCGTAGAGCTTCGACTACGTATGAGAGGCCTTCTCGGCGGCCGGTTTTTCAACATCGGTGCAGTGAGTTAGCGGTACTACTAGTTAGTCATTACCCTGCCGCACACTTTCGTGCAACACTTGACACTTGCAGAAAGGGCCGACAGGTGCTGGCAACGTCGACAATTAAGATTATTGTTCATGGGTAATTTCGATTGTATCTCAGAGTTTTGATACCAGGTAGACTTATGTTGTTGTTGTAGCGGCTAGCCTAATCGCGATAAGAAGTAAGCAAGATGAGTGTAAGTCATCGATTCCATGCGTTGGGGGCTCAGCGGGTAAGGGGGGGTAGATCAGTAGATTCAAGAGGCATACAAAGTAGTGGTTACAGCCATGCAGGGTCTCACTGCATGCGAGACATACCTTGGGTATGTCGTGGTCAAGTCTGAATAGGTAGGAATTTAGTTCACCACAGTTTTTGGGGCTGGTTCACGTGAATTCCAGCTGAGATGCACACTTTTCGACCACTATTTACAGCAATAATACACAGAATATTCTTTTCGAAGAAAAATATCTACATGGTGTTAAATCGCACGGTCTTGGAGGGAATGGCGTGTCTACGATGCGAGATAATGCGCTTACCAAAGGTTTCGTCCAATAAATTGATTGCTTTGTTGGCTGTATGGCATGTAGCGCCGTCTTGGGGGAAACAATGGTGGTGCACATGCAACATCCTCCGAATTAGGCATGAAAAAATCAGCATCCATGGCTCTATAGTACTCATATTGATTGTAACATTATGGCTGCTTTCATTTTTGAAGAAATATAGACCAATGATTTCCTCTGCTCATAGAGCACACCAATTAGTCAGAGCGTCTACTATTATTTGTTTCACAGTAATTAGAAATTTCCAAATTTTTCCACATTTACACCTACTAAAATCATGAATTTATACGATAAAATGCAAGACGTCGTTGAAAAAAAAATATATATATTTTTGATATTTTTCAGAAAATTTTTTCTCAGAATTTTCCAATTTTGCTATCATAAAACAATGCACACATTTTCAAAAAATTAATTTTAATATTTTCTAACTTTCCAATAATTTTAGGATGTATGAAAAAATTTCATTCGGTTCAAGGCTCTTGGTCATTGCGAACTAATAAAAAAAGAACATTCAAACGACATTTGTTCAATTTATTTTACTTTTTACATATTTTTCTCACAATGCTAAATCTATACATATACATTTGCAAATTACCAACCGAATTACCAACACATTTCATTATCCATCATCCGCCGTAGTACATTAACATGGCGCACGATCTATGCTTGTATCCAAATATACCGTTTTTCATCGTTCTCGAAAAATTTTCACACGTAACAGACTTGTTCTGCCACCCAATGGGTGAGTTTCTATGCATTGTTCATACTACTCATGTATACATGTATTTATTATATAATGGAAGCTACGAATTATGAGAAAAAATCAAGTTTTCACAGAATTATCGAAAATCGATAAACAACTAACATTACGGTGCACCTAGGCTACAGTTGTCATTCAAAGAAGCATATTGTGATTAATGTTACTCATACGCACTGCCTAATCCTTTTTGCATACAAATTTTAAAAATCAAAAGTATCGATAAAATGTATATATAAATGTACTTATATAAAACAAAAGTAATCCATTATTTTTGCATTAAATTGAAGTCAGAATTATCCGATTTATATCAAATATGCAAAGTTTTTCTAGCTAATATCTTTGCTATTCTCATAGAAATCCTTGTCCCTATGAGCAAAAAATTTGGCCAGACTTTCCTCAGAATTCCCTCCTGAAGCCATTTCCACATCAGCCAAATTATTCGCCATTAACGGGCACAGTTGGTAATCACTTGGTACGAAGAACGGACTATAAAATGTGTGTTTGAGATCCTCCCAATCAACTTGTCTGAGCTTTTGGCGAATCATTATCTACGTGTGTAGTCAGACGTTGCCCTAATGAAACACAATTTCCCTCCTTTTGGCCAAAATTGAGCGCTTCTTTCCGATTGCTAGCTTCAGACGCTCCAATTGCTGAT